GTTTCCTCCCTTCCTTTAAATTATAAGATCACCTACTTGCCACTAATGGGTGGGATCTGGACATTAGGTCTTCCATTTATATTATAATAGCCACCACTAAAGGATTGGGACTGGGATAGATAAATTAGGTCCCCCCTTTTAGTAAGTAGAAACCGGTCTAGATTAAAATGTTTGTTTTTGGGTATAACATTGGCTAAAAGAGAGAGGTACGTTTTCAAGCTGGACAAAAGTGGTGTCTCTCAGGGTTCTGTTCCTGGACTGCTTTTTCTTCAACATTTAATTTTTTATAAAATATTTTACCAGGAAGGATTCATTGATATTTCTCTAATTTTCAAGTTTGTCATGGGCCCCAAAACACTACATTGCTACAATAGGGTACAATATAATATAAATAAATATACACACACATACATTTAACACAGAACAGGTAATAAATCTAGTCAACTATGATTACAGGTGCATTCTGTATTGAGAAATGTTGCCATAGATCTCTTAAAGATTTTAGATTAAATGAAGATTTGTCTGTGTCTGTGAGGTTATTCCATAATTAAAGTGCTCTGTAGGAAAATGTGGATTGAGACACTTTATTTTTGTATTGTGGTATACTAAATAAAGTACTCGTACTGGATCAGAGCTTATAGGAGGTGCGAACAGCTGGGGTGAAACAGAATAAAAGAAACATAATTGTGGTTGTCAGGATAGGATCCAGACAGTATTTAACATATGCACTAAATGGTTAAACAGATCTATGTTTGTTTCCTGTGTAGAACTAGATTTTATACAAAGTTTAGAATTTCACACAAATATGTTTTTTTTTATCAGAATAGTACTTGAATGTGTTAATACATATTTTTCTTGATTTCAAAAGCTATTTTGGCTATGAATTAAAGTCATAAATGTATGAATAAATAAATACATGAGTGAGTGAATAAATAAATGAATGAATGGATACTTGTTTCTGTCTTGTTATATCAGCTACTATTGTATACCATTAATAGATACAATAGTTAAAGAAAAACTTAAATCTCACAGGATTCAACACATTGTCTTTCAGATAGGATAAAGCCAGTGAAATCATCATTATCCAGTGACGGACTGACAGCCTTCTGGGCCCCCGGACAAAATTAGATCTGGGGCCCTTTCAAGACAAAATATTAAAGGAGCACTTAGGTCCCCCCCACCCTCAGGACCCCCTTCTCGCTGGACTGAATGGGTTAAAACCCCTTCAGCCACTTACTTTTCTCCTCTGTGAGAGACAGCCACTAGATTCTGGATTAACCCTCACTGAAACATAGCAGTTATGTTTTCAGATGCAGGGTTAAAACTAGAGGGACCTGGCACCCAGACCCCACTTCATTGAGCTGAAGTGGTCTGGGTGCCTATGGTGGTCCTTTAAGGACTAAGTAAATGTTAAAAATAACTTTAAAGTAAGTAGTCAAGCCGTTTAAGCACCGAGTGACAACTTACCTGGGGTCTGCTGAGATATGAGGCTGTAGTAGGGCATAGGAGCAGTGGTGTGTGTGAGTGGTGCAATGTGTGAGGGGTGCAGTGTGTGTGAAAGGTTGTGTGTGTGGGGGGGGTTTAGTGAGTGAATGTGAAGGGGGTGTGGGGCAATGTGTATGTGTGTATGGGGGTCTGTGTGTGTGGGGCAATTTGTGTATGGGGGGCAGTGTGTGAATGTGTATGGGGCAGTGTATGTGTTTGTGGGGCAATGTGTGTATGGGGAGGGCAGTGTGTGAATGTGTATGATGTGTGTGGGGGCAATATGTGTATGGGGCAGTGTATGTGTGTATGGGGGGTGGGCAGTGTATGTGTGTGTGGGGTAATGTATGTGTGGGGGGGCAGTGTGTGTATGGTGGAAGTGTATATGTGTGGGGGGGCTGTGCATGTGTGTGGGGCAATGTGTGTATGGGGGCCTGTGTGTGTGTGGGGGTGGGCAGTGTATGTATATGTGTATATATATATATATATATATATATATGTGTGTGTGGGGCAGTGTATATATATATATGGGGTGGGCAGTGTATGTGTGT